TTTAATACCAGAATCGGAACTCAAATAACAACCCGAAGAGCAATCGGGGCTCAGGAAGTCCTTACGGGGCGTCGAGGGGTTACTCATACTCTCATATGCCATACGAAGCTTACACTTCTTCGGGACCGATGAGACACATGTCTCACAACACACGAGAGCATCGGTTCAATCCATTGTCAAACATTCATCCATTGCAGTCATACCAAAGCTATCCCACATCACAGAATCCATTAGCTTATAATCAACCGCCACTACCGCTGTCGGCCTCGATGGCAGCCCCACCGCCGCCACCACCACCTCCGCCGCCATCTATGCATATGCACGGGTCGGGCGGCGGAATGGATAACGGTTTCAACGCAGAAAAGGGTGGTTTCATTCTGTTTGCATACAATATCGGTCCGGAAACCAATGAATACACTTTGGGTGAACTGTTCGGCACTTACGGCAAAGTAATTCGCGTTAATGTGATCCGGAAGGGAGAGTCCGGTGAGAGTAAAGGCTTCGGTTTCGTCACAATGAAGAACTATAACGAAGCCGTGAACGCCATCTCAGCCCTCAATGGCTTCAACTATACGGGAAAACCATTACAAGTGTCGTTCAAGAAGTGACCGACACTTAACACCCGAACCCATTCTCCATTCATTAACTCTCATTCAAGTCATTCATTCTTCTCGTTTAGTTCTTCTCAGATAACTATTTATAAAAACAAACTTACGTTTCGTTTATATCTAGCGATTAAGTATTGATCGGAATCTCGATATCAAATCTTATTTACAGACGTCGTGTGACTTCTCGGTCGCCCAACAAAACACTCATTAATTATATTTCTCTTAAGAATAACTGTCTTTTATATACATTACATAATAGTCTTTAAACTAATATCACGTAACTATCGATTATATCATTCCTATCGTGAAAAAATTGTATAATTTTAGTCCTCATTTTGACTCCTTTTCAATCAATTATTCAAAAAAATAAGTTTAAATTATTGACAAAAAAATGAAATTAAATATTTAATGAATGCATTAAAAAATAAGCATTTGTCTAAAAATTATAATAAATAGTGAAAAAGATAACATTTGTTGTTATGATTAATTGGATGGGCTTTTAAGGGCTAATTGGTCATCAAATAGAGGGCAAACTGTACAACACTTGTCGACAGTTGTTGGCGCCACACCTGCACGCGACCGCCAGCGACTGCTCCTCTCGGGTCTGTTCTTTGCCACAAACAGTCGACCCATCGATACCCGAATCGAAACTCACTTCCGATGGACAGATGGACGAGTCGTTGGCGTTCGTCATTCGTTGGACTAAACATTGAAAATAATTACTAAATTAAAGTACACGAGTAATAGCTATCGCTTTTACAAAGATTGTATCTAGATTTCAAAGTGAATACCATTAATTTTGTAGTCGAAAGTTAATTCTTCATTAACTCTGATGTTTCGGATGGCAAAGAGCGCGATGTGTGGCATATATGGGTCCAAGTTATTGATCCACACGACCCGAGTGTCCAGATTTGGATCACACTTGGGATCAAAAAATGATAATCATTTGCAATAAACCAAACGAATGAACACAACTTACGGAATGGTTGACGAAATGGGAGACATTTCCGCAATGAGTGGCGTCGAGAGCGTACTTATAGGCGTCGACCTCATCGTTATAGTCGAGATCAAAGAGATAAGTGATTCCCTCGGCGTCGTACTGACGGCCGCGACGGTCCGCCTCTTCTATTGTGATAATCTCTCCGATATATTCCATTACGAAAGAGCCCTTTGGTATCGGTTCCAGCG